CTCTTTTTTCAGTAACAATTATAAATTTGATCAAAAAAATCTTAAAAACACTAAATTATTGAAATCACAAAAAGGATAATGGTTCCTTACAATGAGATAAGTAAATCTTCTTCCAACTAGGTTCAATGGACGAAAATTAATCTACAACCTCCAAATTTCAAATTCTATTTTCTCTCCTTTCTTTTTCTCACGAATTTCCTTTACCGTTCGAATGTATGGAATAAAAAAGCTTTTTAATGGATTTTGAGTGATTTAAGATATTTATAATAAAATAATAATATAATAATATAATTTAATCATTTTTATGTATAAAATTCATATAAATATTTTTTGGTATTTAAAAAATATCCATAAATATCTTATTTTATTTAAAAAATTATAGCAAAATCAATTTGCAAACAATTACTGACAATCCAAAACCCCACTTTACCAACATGTGTCAATTTCTTAAATATTTGCACCAATGCCTAGAAATTATGAAAAAATTAGTATGATTAAATCACTATAATATTTATATCATGCAAAGACGTTTTGTGATATGTATGAACTTATAACGACTCTTGAAAAAAAAATAAAATAATTAGATCAAAATACATACTATTACACAATAGCATTACACGAAAACATATATATGCATTCCTCATTTTATGAGGCTAAAATTGGGATTCATGATGCAAGATCACGAGAAGCATATGAAGTATTGCATTGACAATCAATATATCTAAATTATGATGATGATTATAGAGAGCTTTAAAATAAAACTTTTGAGCAACGTTTTGAAAATCGGACCGGACAACAAACCGGAAGGAGAGGTTCACGGTTCGACCGATCGAATCGGGGTTGAACCAGATGACGTAATAAATAATAATATTATTAAAACAAATATAAAATAAATGATAAATTTTCTTTTAATGCATTCTATTTCATATCAAACTAATCTAATAACATAAATATGACATAAATTAAGTTTATAAAATGAAAATAAATAACACATAATATAAATGATTAAATTTCACATCAAATAAGTCAATAAAAAATAAACTTCATTCATAACTTTTGGCATCAAACAAAATTAGAATCAATTGTTCAAAATTCAATCAAAATATGCAAATAAATATAGAAGTCATCTCCTAGATTTGAAGCATCAAAAGTTATATCCCTAAATCCTATTTCATCAAAACATTCCCCTCAAAATACACCAATTGGTTTGCCAAAACTTTCTAAATTATCACGAAAAAACATAACTTCATTCATTGTTGCTGATGGTTTAGGACATACATCTTTATTTCCAATCAGATCAATTAAACCTTTCATCACTTCAGGTTTGTGGAAAAAAATTTCTTTATCAAATTGAAAATGTGGATTAAGAAAGTATGTTGCACAATGTATGTCTCGTCTTAACTGACCATCCCATCTCCTCTTTATAATGCTTGTGTACGATTTGTACAACATTTTGACATTTCTAAACATTAACTTGATTGCTCTCCTTGCTCTGTACATCCCATCATAAGGAAATCCTATTGATGGTTTTTTCATCAGAATCAATAATTCTCAATAACTGGATCAAAGGCCCAGATAATTTAGAAGTCACCAAGCAGTCATTCCAAAATTTTCATCAGAATCAGAGGTTTGTGACTTGGGAAGCGATGAAGAGGCCCTTTCTTCATCCATATATTCATCAACAAAAACAGTTGTGTTATGCTCTAATTCCTCCTGGGTCTATTGTTTTTTCTTGCCTATATCTTTCAGATTTTCTTGCATGTGATGACGAATGTCATGTGGGACTTTTTTGCACGAAGATATGTTACCTCTAACTCCTGCTAGATGTTATTTTATCCAATTAATTCCACCAACATTATAAATTATCCCACAATGTAAGCATCTAAACTGTTTTTTTCCATCTAAATATTTACTTTCACTACAATGATTACAAGCAATATCAAGCTTTTCACATACACTATGAGACGAAACTATTGGTGGATCCATTCTGGAGTAAACACAAAGCTCAAGATTTTGCATCTAAACATAAATCAAGATATTACTCTTTATCTATGAAAGTAAAAAAGATATAGAAAAGAACTAATTCTATTCTACAGTAATTTAATCAAGATTTTGCCTATACCGTTCAGATATATAAAATACTTCCAAGGTTCATGCCTCTACCACTTACAGGTGTAGTAGAGATGTTGGAGTTAATATTTCTCCTATATTTTCTAACTTAAAAATCAGTTGGAAGACAATAGCACTCTTAAATCAATAAGCCCATTTCAACGATATTGTGATTTTAGAATTGAATTGAAATCCCAAGATTGAATGAATAAAAATTTATAATTGGTAGGGTATTATCTTGCCTCGAATGAATTTTTGACATTTAAATTCTGAATGATTGGATCAGACAGTTTGATTTGAGGTCTAAGATGTTCAACAAAGATGTAGAAGACATCAGGAGAGATTTGACAAAAATTTGTGGATAACTTCCAGCTATTTCTCAATCAAATGAAAATCTTCATAGATTACAAGATATTTAGTTTCCTGTAACAAATCAGAGCCTATAGTTGGAAAATTTATTAGGTCACCTAACGTAGCTCTACGTTCGGATGCCAATAACATGTTGCCGCATGGTCTTACTCAATACCTCGCGGCCCGACGACATGACCCAAGATTGCTATGTTTGCGTATTGCTCTAGGTATTGCTCGGTATTGCTAGGTATTGCTTGACAATAATGAAAAATATCGCTCTGTGAAGACTAATACCGAGTAAAACTCGGTATTGCTCGGTATTGGTCTTCACAGAATGCTATTTCTCATTATTGCCGAGCAAAATCAACCAATGCCGAGCAATACCTAGCAACACGCGAACATAGCAATCTCGTCTCCGTTCCGAGTCGGGGTTGTTAGGTCGCGTAGTAAATAGTAAGAATACGTTGCACTATTTTACTGGCGTCCGAACGTAGAGCTACATCAGGTGACCGGACCAAATAAAAGTTCCTATGGTTGAACTTCTGGAAGTGATGACAGTCTGACTGTTTTGCTGGTTGTAGAGTGGTTAAGTCCCGTTGGATACTTGGATAGGAAGGTGTTAAGAAATATAAAATCAGCTCTATTGCCTTGAAGCTGCTTGATAGTGTAATAACTTCACCATATTCATTCACTCAAAACAAACATATTGACTATAGTGGCAAAATAAAATAAAAAATGTCCTCCATAAATGCTTCTAAAACTCCTTCCAACTCCAGCTAAACAAAACTTATCTTAAAAATAACCTTACAATATAGTTTACAGTATAAAAATCATTCACGGGCATGTATGGCAACAAAAACATCAGCAATACATGTATTAGAATAACAAGATCCAAATTCTGGAGTAAAAAAAAAAAAGCCCTGAACATGTGAGTTGAAACTGAAAACAATTCTGGAGTTAGAAAAAAAAGCCATTTTGCAAAGATAAAAAATCATCATCCAAATCTGTATTTGCCGACTACTGAATGCAATGAGGAGAAATTGAAAAACTTATTGTGTGTAGGAGAGGAGATCTTGACCAGCCGAAGGAAGCCTTAAGTCGCTTCGGCGCTTTGCAAATCACAATACAGCAGCAACTACTACCGACGGCATCACGGTAGGATGGAGGAAGAGTCGCGACTCGGGAAGGTCTGGAGGAGGCGAACCGCGAAATGAAATGAATGAATAGGGTTTCTCAGTTTCTATTTTCATTTAGCTATCCTTAATCTCTGTCATCGTATTAAATCGGATGGCTCAAAAGCGTTATAGCTCGAACCGATCAGTTACTAAAAAGGGTGCCGGTTCGCCGGTTTGACGATCGAACCGCAGTTCGAACGGTTCGAGACCGGTTTTCTGCGGAGGCGGTTTTTAACCAGCCCATAACCGGCCGGCTAGCCAGTTCACTGTTCAACTGGTTGAACTGGTCCGGACCGGCCGGTTTTAAAAACCTTGCTTTTGAGAGCATTGCAAAGATAATTTTCCTTTGAGATGTTATGCTATTTTCAACTATTATTTCTAAGATAAATTTTCTAATTATTTGGTCCTTTTTCAAATAGAAATGAGATGCTAAATTTTTGTCACCCGTCAAGATGCCTACATTGTTGGAATGTCAGCCATGAATTGTTCATTATATGGGATCTATTTATTGACATGAAAGAAGTCTTGAGGAGAAATTGCATAATTTAAGTAATACAACATCAAAAACAACATCATCATATTGCTCAACTAATTGATATTATTGCCAACTAACATCATATGCAAACAACTATCATCAACATCAATATGAAGTATCACATAAAGCTCCAATCAATGTCATCCCAATAAAACTAACATTGCAAAATATAGGAAAGTTACTTCTCCCCTGTGTTTGTTCTATTAATTAGTTGATATTTGTATTGATTTTTTTTTTCTTTGTTCTTTCATTAGTAATAACCTTTCTTAACATAGATATATCACAAGAGGAACATCAATGATATTTGAATCACCACTAGCATAATTAAACACCAAAGAGGAGAGAATAATAGAGAGGACAATGGAGATATTAACAATTGACATAAGAGCTCCAATGCTTAACAATGAAATCTTAATTAAACTGTTGCCATCAATTTAAGCTTTGAAGAAAATTAGTCCTCTAATCTTCAAACAAAGGGGGTTGTAAATAAGCTGTGTTTCCCATTATATTGGGCTAAAAGCAATTTCTGCATTAGGTTCACCACATCGCGGCGTAAAGATGAGCTCAAGCTTAGCATATAATAAATTACAACAACAACAACAACAAATCTTTATCCCAATACGTGAGATCAGCTATATAAATACATTTTCTTTAGTGTCTTACTAAGAGTCAACAGAGAAAAAGAACTCATGTAGCTGACTCCGCATAGTGAGAAAAATGCTTGTTGTTACTTGTTAGTGTTGTGATTTATTACATGGGAGTTCAGTTTTGTCTTCTTTAATAAACTCTCAATAGAAATCTAAAACATCTAACATTAAACATGCAAATAGTTTATCAAAAGTGAAAATCATCAACATGATCATTTAGTTCATCTTAAATAATCTCTTCCTTTAAGGTGGTGCACAGATTGCCAGAATAGAAAAATTTAAAAAGAGCTATGATTGAAGAGACGGTTCCTTTCCATCCAGTTCAAACAAGGTTGAATCACTAGAGAATTTGTTAATAAAAGTTGAACACAAACATTCAAACCATGTAGTTTTTTTGTTGCTCTGTTAATTTACTTGGCACCAAGAGCTGGAAACTGTCCCTGATCTTCAATTGAAGGGATGACCGGCGAGATTGATGCCCCGCCGGTGTAACTGCCTCTGAATGATTCACGATCACCGCGACCTCTTCCACGACCACGGCCGGATGGACTGTAATATCTCCCCCCATCAGCTGGCTTCAAAAACTCATTGATGTTCATAGCCTAGAAAGTCCAACAAATAAACAAATTGTTTTAAGGCAGAGGAAATGATTGAGCAAGTAAATTATTTGGAACTAATTCAGACCTTTCTGGCCCGTTCCTCTTTCTCAGCATTGTCTCTTAGTTTAGGTGAGTCTTTATCAGAGCTCTGTAAAATTTGCCTTTTTCAGAAGAAGAATATTTGTATTTAGCATAAACTACAAAGATCCAATCAAGTTTAAGTTGTGTACCAGTTTGATAAAAACATCATCGTTTCCTTTTTTGATAGTAAGTTGTTGCATAGACTGTAAGTCCTTGTCGATTTCGACTTTTCGCTCCTCAACCTTCATAGAAAGTAAGGCTTTTCTTTTTTCCTCCCTTACTTTCTCATACTCTTCCAGAGTCATCTCCTGCTCCATATATTCCAAATATTCGTGTTTGGTTGGATGAAAAATGAATGCAAAATAAACGTCGCAAATAGCATTTTAGTTCGTCTCCTGTTACCCTTTTTAGTGTGGATTAAATCCTCTGTTTTTCCCCTTTTATGCTAAATTGTGGATTTAATCAATCCTGTGGGCAGCAGGATTTAGGAAGAAGTAAGTCATGGGTAAATTATGGATTTCATAAATCCTGTGGGAACCAGTATTTAGGAGGAAGTGAGTCATGGAGGGATTGGTGGTGAACTTCCTGCGGGCAATGGAGAGGAGTTGGTCGTGGAAATTGGTGGCACAATATGATAAATCAGACAAAACAGCTGAGGGTGAGATCGTAGGTTTAAAGGCTGCATTTCTGTAATTGGAGAACATGAAGGAAGAGAGAAACATGATGCTCCGAAAGGGCGACAGGTGAGATCAAAGAAGCATGGTGGCCATTTTTTTTGGAAAAGAAGAAGGTTAAAGAAACCCAAGGATTGCGTGAGAAGACTTGGAGAACATTAAGGGGGAGAGAGCCATGATGCATCGAAAGGGCGGCAGGTGAGATCAAAGAAGCATGGTGGCCATGGATGAAGGAAAAGAAGAAGGTTAAAGAAACCCAAGGATTGCGGAAGAAGAATTGGAGAGCATGAAGGGAGAGAGAACCATGATGCATAGAATGCAAGGCAGTTGAGATCAAAGAAGCATGGTGGGCATGGATGGAGGAAAAGAAAAAGGTTAAAGAAACCCAATGATTGGGGGAGAAGAATTTCAGGGAAGGTGACTCAAGCAAACCACAGATTATTTTGTTACTTTAGGATTGTATCCTAATGAATCTAAGGCTTCGCTTGGGACAACTTTTTTATCGCTTCATAAAGTAGCTTTTTAGTACAAAAAAATTAATTTTTATACTAGAAAGTTGTTTCAAGAAGCAGTAAAAAAGCCGTCCCAAACAAAGCCTAAATCTATCATTGGTCTATTTTTTACAAAGTAATAATAATATCATAATGGTAACAAGCCTGTAGTTTTGTAACGGGCGAGTACAGGGAAAGGAGAGAACCACAAGTGTAAGACTGAAAAAAGGTATGCAATTGAAAATTATATATCCCCAAGCCATATGTACCAAATCAAGTACCCTAAAATTGCCTATGCATTAAAAGCAGCAACAAAATAGAAACTTAAATAAATGCATAAGTATTATTACATACAAATATATACTCCTAAACTAGCGTGAACATTAGAAAGTAAACAAACAAATTCAAATGCTCATTAATATACATGTTAATCATCATAGCATCAGTTTACATAATATAAATATAAGGAAAGAAAAAGAAATAATTTATCAGCATGAGTAGAAAGACGATCATAAACAGAAGTATTTCATGTCCATAAATATGAAAGATAATGCTACTACTTTTGGAACTTCTCAAAGCCAGTTTGCAAAATAAGTACTCAACACTTTTAAACAAATGGTGAAAAAAACTGTATGCAACATAGTAAGATGGATGAGTCCAGCTGTTAAAAAATTATGTCCTATGCATAAAATAGCCTTTTAGAAATGCATAAATTAGTCTATTTTGGTTACAAGAAACAAGACATTTACATAAAAGTATTTATGTTAGAATCATAATATATGAAGTAGCACAATAATTTACTAATCGAATTGTCGTGATAAGCATAATGATAATAATGAAGATGCGGACTAGCATATTGACGATGGTAAAGTATGAAAAACTTCATGTCTTAGCGTTGCACGAGTATCCAATTCACAAACATAGTATAGAAACAACAAAAATTTTAACGAGCAAACCCGAAGGGAAAAACCATGATGCAACGCCCAGTTGAAATGAATCCAATAGTATTTGAATAGATTACAAATGATTAATTCACCATTAAATTTGAGGACGATCAGATTACAATATGCAACTGCCAGGTTGAAATCTAGCAACAAACTGGGATTGGACGAAAGTCTGGCCAAAGTCCGAAGATGGTTGGTGGTCAGGCAAAAGTCTCAAATATCAAAATTCATAACAAAATTTCAACCCATATCTCACTTTTTAATAAAATTTCAACAATTTGATCATGGCACACAAAAATACATATTTTGCTAGTTTTTTTTTTGGGGAGGGGGGGGGGGTGATAGTTTTGTAAATAGGGTAGATTTCAATTGCATATTCATAATTCTCTCAAATTTTTTATTGAAAACACACAAACATTCACAAATTAATAACAATGAGAAGAACAATAATTAGGTGGAAGACTTTTAAAGCCTGGAGAAATTTTTTTAGGAAGAGGACCAGAGTTTCCAAATGAACTATGAAGGAATTAAATTATCTCTCTTAAATTTGCCCCAAAAATAACAAGCAATGACATTAAATTTTCCTCCTTTGAAAGATTTGATCTACTCCTAAAATCCTCAACTCTTTTAGCCAAAGTAGCAAAATTTGGTTCACTGCTTCAATATCATTGTTGCTACAATACCATCATTGTAAAAGCGGCCTTGCTACAATATTGCGTCCTACTCCAATGCCCTTTGCTAATGTTCCTCCTACTACAGAATTGATGCTACACCAATGCCACGCAAAGGTGAAGGAAAAGATAAAAAAAGGATTGGGAGAATCTTGAATTTCTTTTTATTATAGGAATTAAGGTCTTCAAATAGGTAATTTATAGCAATAATTGATTTGAATTTAACATTATCTTCTCCTAACCTAGCTCTACAATTTAGAAGTAATTTTATCCTTTTTAAACTAATTCCATAAAATAAGAAACAACCTTATTTAAGGCTGTCAAATATTGGCACCGATATGAAAATTTCAAAGTTTGGGTTAACCCATGCAACATTCAGGTCAACTTAAGAGAAAAAATTGGAGTTAGGTTTATGTTATATATGATTTGGGTCAATCCAAAAATAATGAGGTGACCCCACTTGATCTTTTATTTCTATTTTTAACTAAAAAAGTAGTTAAATTATAATATATATATATATAAATTGAATAATAGAATGTATTTCAAGTTGGGTTGACACTAACCCAGCACATGTCAAGTGATTATCATACAATTTAAAGTTAGTTTTGAGTTTAGTCCAGTTTGATTCAAGTTGATATTTTCAACTTGTTTAATAAACGAATAGAGATCGAGTTAGCGAAATTAAAGTCAAGTAATTTTCTCGTAGGTTATGAATTTGACACATTAACTCAACCCAAACTCGACCGATCAAGATGGCCTAATGTTTTGCACAATAGTAGCCAACAATTAGTCCTCAGACAAATTGGCAAAACAATTTGGTTATGGATGTCCAAAATAACTATGTCGAATCGAACAAACAGAGCACATAAATGAAACGATCCAAATAATGATTTGGTTCGGTTGTTTTAGTATGGTTTTGACTAAACAAGAGCAAGTTTTAAAATTGCGCAATTGTGTATTGAGGTATTTTTCGCTCGTGAGTTGAGGCTTAAGCCTCAAGGCTTTTTGAGTGTAAGTCTCAAAATCTAGAAATTGTGTAAAATAAAAAATAAATGCTAAAAGCGATTTTTTATATAACACCCAAATAATATGTTAAAGAATAACATATTAATTTTCTATTAAACTATAAAGTAACAAATTGGTATATATATGAAACAAAAATTTTCACAAGACATAAAGTGGCAAGTGATAAATTGCGTGAAATACAACTGAAATTCAAATATTACAAGAGAAAAATAACATAAAACATATGAACTGCATAAAAGTATCATATAACATCAAGTTTAACTTCAAATTCCTTATTTCTAAGTTCTCTACTCATCCATATTTAATTCCTTAAAAAATCTGATGAAACTAATGATGATAATAAATTGGTACTTATCTATTAATGACTTCACATAGGACTCAAAATCTATATCAATGTTTGAAAAATCATCTAAAATTACTGGTGTTCTCTATATTAGTTTCTTGCTTATTTGCTCCTGTAAGTCTTATAGTGAACAAATTCAAGCTTGATTTAAAAAAAAAAAAACTATATGAGAAATGCAAGGAAAATGCAAACCAAAAGCACAAACATTATCTTCTGGTTCTTTCTCCGCTTCCCGGGCTGCTTCTTCCTTTTTATCCTTGCTTGCATCTGCTAAGTTTCCATCGTCTTGTTCCACTTGTTTATCAGGAGTAGCAACCTTTACATCAAGAGTAACTCCATCCTCAGTCTCCCTACCAAATCACACATCATCAAGAGTCAGAAAACCATTACATATTACCAAACAAGTTCACAAACCATCAAACAAAACCAAATATCAATTATAAAAGACAGAAAGAGCAACGGTAACTTAACTGTGCATGAACTTCATCAGTGACTGTACCCCAGTTACCACGCCCGGCACCCTCTCTTTTCATCTCATACCCAATCCCAGTTCCACTCCGACGCTCATAAACTCTTCTTTGAGGACGCTCAGGATCAAATCCGCCCTCCCCAGTCCCGCTCCCATACCCACCACGCCGGCCGCCACGGAAAGATCCCCGGTGTTGACCAGAGCTTTCTCGTTCTCTTTCTGAAGGATTACCAGCGTCACCATTTTCAGGTGCGAAGCCACCGCGACCACCACCATATCTGCTATGATTCCCGTTTTCAAAGTCCCTATTTTGACCAATCCCAGCTCCTCTTCCACCCCGACCACGCCCAGACCCACCTCGACCAGTTCCTTCGCGTATAGGCGCCGCGTTACTCCGTGACTCCCTTACTGCAAGACCAGAGTAAAAAAACCCAAAATCAGAACAAAAAAAGAAGATTTTAAGTGCGAAGAGATAATACACACCGGCCTGTGCGGGAGGAACCGGCTTTGAAGGGAGCTTCGCCGCAGCCGGAGTAGGCGCCGCCTGAGAAGGTGCTGTGAGCTTCTTCTGCTGGGCGGCGATCAGCAGAGAAAGATCGTCATTTTCGCTATCTCCGAGTATATCAAAGGAGTTTGCAGTAGCCATCGGGATGAAAATGAGATGATACTGGGATCGACGAAGCTCTAAGCGGTTGTTTCAGTGTTAAAAATAACAAATTTCAGGCGGGATCAACGCCATCGAACCTGTCGGCAGAAACTGAATAAGCTTTACTGGCATAGAGAGAGAAGTTCCGTTTTTGAGCGGGGGCGGCGGCGGCAAGTGCAAAACGAAGTGGATAGAACCCTAGACACGCTCTTCTGATCCATCCATTAGTGCTAAAATGTGTTAATATCGCATAGTTTTTCTACACAATTGATATTTTTAGTAAAGTAATCTGTTTCTGTTAACTACGTGAGGGTAAAGTGGAAAGCGATTATCTTAACATAAAACAAATATTATGATTACTTTGGACTTAAGTACTAAATATTTTATTTTAGAAACTATTACATGTGATGTTTTTATCTTCATGTTGAGTAGCTGACATAAATAATTGTTTAAATAGGGTGTTAAATGAATAAAATTGAGTTGAGAATTTTTTCACTTAAATTTATTGTATTTTTTTTTAAGTTAGAGCTGAGCATGAATATGACTTATATTTTAAAATCAAGTTCAAATTTGTTTATTAGTTTTTTATTGAGTATAGTCTAAATTAAGGCTTTGTTTGGGACATCTTTCTTAATGTTTTTTAAATCAACTTTTAGAACAAAATTTTTTTGAACTAAAAATTTTAATACTGCAAAGTTACTTTAGAAAACAGTAAGAAAGTCGTTCCAAATGAAGCCTAAATATGATTAATTATATATTCGATACTAATAATTTAAATATTTATTATAAGACATAATTATATTTTGATAAAATTATCATAATTAATTAAGTTATTTAAGTTATTCAATGATGTTTAAATATTGATAGAAATGTGTTGCATCCTAAAATTTTCGCAGCGATAGAGAAATATAAATCTTAGCGTCTTAATTTTATACAAAGATCCAACACACAAACAAATGAAAGATATGTGTGTAGCACTCATAAGGGACATGAATTTTTACGTGAAAACCCCTAAAAAGGGGAAAAATTTCATTGGGTCTATTCCAGTTTGAATGAATCCACTAATGTTTGCAGTTGATAACAAATGAGGCCCATCCTTGGGGGGAAGGCCTTCACTCGACGTAACAAATATGCATCATATAGAGTGCATTACATGGTTGATTTGGAATAAATCAATATTGGCGTGTTTGTTTGGTTTGAAGGATCATAGTTGACGAGCATTGTAGGTTGGAAGGATCATAGTTGGACGATGGTGGTTGGAAGATAGTAGTTCGGTGATGGAGGTCGGAAATACTGTAGTCTGGCGATAGTGGTCGGAAGGACTGTAATTCGTGGGTGACATGAATCAGAAATACTATAGTCAAGTGATGGTGGTTGGAAGGAGATTAGAAAAATAATAGTCGAGCGACGATGGTCATAAGGACAGTAGTTTGCAAGCGACATAGGTCGGAAAGATCATAGTCAAGTGATGGTGGTTGGAATGACCATAGTTGACGAGCAACAGAGGTCGAAAAGATCGTAGCCGGGTGGCACTGGTTGGAAGGACAGTGATTGGTGGGCAACGGAGGTTGGAAAGATCATAATCGAGTGACGGTGGCCGAAAATGCCGTAGTTGATGGATGGTAGTCGGAAAGACTATAATTGGTGGGCGATGGAAATCAGAAAGGCCATAGTAAGTTATTGGTGGTCGAAAAGACCATAATTAGACGACTGTGGTAGGAAGAATCATATTTGGGTGATGGAGGTAAGAAATATCATAATTGGGTGATGGTCATTAGAAGGACCATATTTTGAAGATGATGGTCAGAGAGATTGTAGTCGGTGGGAGGAAATTTGATGACAATAGTGGCAGAACATAAGTCCGGCGACAGTTGGTGGCCATGTTGTAGTCCGGCCAAAATCTGAAGACGGTTGGTGGTCGGGCGACAATCAAGGAGGAGCTTGGTGGGAATGACATGGCTAGTAAATTGGGAGAAGATCAAGGGCGTGTTGGGATTGGTTCGAATGGATGGCCGACATCAATTTTCTTGATCATGGACCATTTATTGAGTATTTGAGTGCCTTAATGATGTCAAAATTTGGCGATCTTGGGGTTGTTAGATTCATCTCGTCAAGCCACTCGATTCGACTATAAGCATGTCATATTTGAATATTATTAGTCATCCAATTAATTGTTTGAACCTTCTAAATGTTATTCGGATCCTCAATTTGGACCCATTTGGGCTCATATTGAGTTGAATTTAGTGACGTTGGGTTCGTCTTTTCGAGACATTCAGTTTGACTATAAGTTTGCTAAAATCGGAGTTTGGATGGCCCCATATTTAATTTCAAGTTTTCAACTCAAATTTGACTCGAGATTCATGCCGATCAAGATAATTTTTTATGATATATCAAAATGTATAAATCTATTTATTTAATTATTTATTTGATGTATATACACAAACATACACACCTATAATTAATAATATGCATACTTTCTAAAGCATATAATTATATAAAAATTGATAGAGTAATATAGATTGAGTAACCAAGGACCAATGTATTGTGTATAGCATTTTGAACAACAAACAAGAATGTTCATGAACATAAATAAACATGTGAGACTGTGTACAAATTTGTTGATTTATATGACGAGCTTTTAAAATTTATTCGAACATGATCGATTACTTTAATAAAATAATATACACAAGCATTGTATGAACGAATATGAATTGCTCATCGAATAGACTTGTTCACTTAGGTTTTATGGGACGGCTTTCTTACTGCTGCTTAAAACAGTTTTTCAGTACAAAAGATGTTTTAAGAAGCAATAAGAAAGTTATCTCAAATGAAGCATTAGAGCCTCATGTTTCATGAAATTTGTTTCCAGCAACAACAACAAGATGATGATATGAGCATGAAGGTGTAGAATTACAGAGAAACAACAAGCATTACAGAAAAACAATAGATTTTTAGTAGCAGCACTGGTGGAAAATTTGGTGCATTTTTCGATGAAATTCTCATTAAAAATTCTGGATGATTTCATGTAGATTCAAGTGACGGATTTTTCAGCAGAAAATATGTAGGAAAATTCATTAGAAACCTCAAATATAATAGTATCCCAAACCAGAGCTCACTTCCCCCATTTTCTTCCCTTGTTGCTGCAATTTTCTCTTTGAGAGGCCATTCAGCCACCTTTTCTTGCCACAATTCAAGCCATTGAGGTCCCATTGAGCATCTTCTTGGTAGATCAGAACCTTGAGCAAGTCCTGGGATAAATTTATATTTCTTCCAACAACCATTCTTTCATGTAGCTCATCTTGATTTGTTCGTTGGAAGCTTTGGTTACCGATGAAGAGGTATCGGATTTGAGTCTTGCATATATTTTATGTGCGAGAGTTTATCTTAATTAGCCTAAATGTCACAAAAAGTAGAGTTAGCCTCTAATTTGAGTGGGGGTGGACTAGAGATGGCAGATAATCGAATTGAGTTGAATATGTGCTTGTCATTTTTTAGCTCAATTATTATCAGCTTGTTTGAGCTTAGTTCGAGCTCAATTTGAGCTTCTATGTTTGTGTTTAAACTTGATTCGTATTCATTTAAAATGGTAGATGTTCAAGTTTAGTTTGTGTTCGACTTATATTCAGTTCATATCATGCTTATTGACCATTAAACAATCTGTTTCTACAAATTAATAAACAAGCCTTATCGAGGCATTAACGAGCTTTGCCTTAGAGATATTTATTACTTAATAAACTAGCATTATCGAGCCTAGTAACGAACGATATATTATATCGAGCCTGATCAATCCTCTCAATGAACTGATCTTGCGAGCTTTCTTAAACTTATCGAACATTTTCGAGCTTAAAAACAAATAACTTGTCAAACACAAAAATAATACTTTTAATAAACGAGCTTCTTAATGAAGACTCAAAATAAACAATCTAGCGAACATGAACAAGTATATCTAGTTAATAGATGCTATAATATTTTATTAGTTTAAAAAATCCTTAATTAATAATTATTATATTATTAAATTATAATAAATATAAAACATTCATATTATATTGTTCGTCATTCTCATAACAATTGCTAATCAAGCTCTATATTGAACATTAATTGAGTTTCTTAACGAGTTTATTCACGAGCTCTGTATTAAACATGAATCAAGCTTATTAACAAGCTTCATATTGAATTTCTTATTGAGCTTGTTCACGAGTTGTTCAAACTTATTTATTTAATTATCAAACATTTTAAAAAATATTTAAGCTTATTTCATTTCTTAATCAACAATCATTAATGTGTTATAAGCCGAATCATGAGTTCAACACTGAACTAAAGGCCAAACAAATAGCCATGAGAATTAAAATAAAGTTTAAAATAGTGTTGGAGGTGCCACATTGGCAGGGAATGCTAACATAGCAGCTAAGTCCCCCTCTCACACCATTCACCCAACCCATGGGGCCAATGGGCTTGTTTCTCATTTGTTAAGTTATTTTCTTAAATGAAATGGGATATATCACTTGTTTCATTTTAAAATTTTGCCACAACTAGCTCTCTCTCTCTCTCTCTCTCTCTCTCTCTCTCTCTCTCTCTCTCTCTCACACACACACACACACATTCCTCTCAAAAGGCCAAAACCTAATTTAATATTGCAAATGCTTGGATGACATAGCTTCTTTATTGTATACATTATTAAAAGTTTTTTCAAAAATTGGACTAGAAGATATAATGACATATAGCCTATTTAAGAAATGTAACAAATCATTGATATTGTGTCTGTTTGCTTAGATTTTTAGTTTTGTGTAGAATCTGATTGTGTCGATCAATTTGGTTGTACTAATGCCTTAGATCTCAATTCAGTCTATCAAGCTCACTGAGAGGCTATAGGGGGTTCTTCCCCTACTTGAGTTTGAGTGCATTACACCCAAAAAATGTTTTTTTTTTCCATACAACGCCGGTGCGCTTTGTGCAAGACATTCCATAGTTTGGTGGAAGAAGACATAGATCAGAGCGCTGCGGCGCTCCAAACCTTGGCTCTGTAGTGCTGCCATACAAATAGGAGATAGAGAATTAAGAACTGTGGCGCTCCAACTTGGCGTAGTGCTATGAGGTAGACAAAGTATTTTTTTTTCTCGTTTTTCATTAAGGGTTGCGTCCTTTGGTGGTTGTTGCGTATTTCTTATTGTCTTATGTAAGAACGGTGCTAGCGAGAAAAGAAACAAGGAGAGAGAGAAGAGAGATCTATGCTATTTTTCCCAATTTTCACAATGGATTTCTTGGTGGGGTGTGACTCAGTGGTTTTTCTTGAGGTTTCAGATTTTTCTATGTTAAATCTTGATGTTTTTTTTTTCGTTACCTTTTCTATTTATTGTTTGTTTCTCTACGTTGTTTTACACCCCCCAACATAGATCATCTATGAGCAGCAATACTCTGAAATCTCTACTCTTCTCTTGCATAAGTGCATGACAGCCACTAACGATGGATTTATGTGACTGCATTTTTTTGCATTGAATCATTTTTCACTTTTTCTTTTTGTCAGAATAATTTTTTACTCATTGATTAGAATGATTTTTCCCTTCCTTTAAATAGCAGTAAAAAACAGTTTTGGAGGTGCATACTGATTTAATACCATTTCATTTGTTTGATATTTTTATGCTTTAGATGATAATGCAATTTTTTTTTTTTGGAAATATAATGAGTTGATATCAGCATTTTGCTAATTAAGTTCAACTTTTGTGTTAAGAGCAGAAGAATTTGGTTTGCAAAGTTTAACTACTAAGATGTGTAGGCATGTCCACTTACATATTTAACAATTAAAATGTACTATTTACTCATATAATATGTAAAACCTTAAATAACATTAAAAATAACACCTTTCTCATCCTCTTTGTTACAATCCATTGCTAAAATCCTCATCTTTCACACGGTCATCAGTCTCCTTGCACTTTCGCCACTAGATCTGAATGCCATTTCTTTCACCTCTTCTTTTCTCTTCTCTTCCATATCTAGATCCCAACATGACTTTCTCACATCACCTTCCTTCACAAGTCGCTAATTCTATGGATTCCCTTCACCATCAATATCCCTTTGCCACATCTTAGTCTCTTCTTTAGTTCCAACAAGATCCTATAATGACTACTCCATCTTTATTTCATCTTTGACAAGATCCTATCAAATGACCCATTTTGACTTCCACTTAGTTAGAGGGGTTTGTTAAGAAGATAACATAGTATTATATTATGTAAATAATATAATTTAGATGTATAATATGTAAGTTGATTCCTTTCCATTCTCAATGCAAAGTTGTTAAAAATTATAATTTTTAACAAAGATGTATGATTCATGATTTAAGTAGTCAAATGATATGATCTTGGATTTTAACTCGCAAATTTATGTATTTAGACAAAAGGTTTCACCTCTTTGCACTGTCTTCTTTACTCCCTTTGATTAATCCCCAACATAATCAGTCTACTCCTATCATAAAATTTATCCTTCCAGTGAATAATCTCGTATCTTATGATGCACTCAATTTCCATGGCTATTGGTATTGTTCTTCTGTTGATTCGTTATTCCCAAGTTGCTAGTTCTTGTAAATTCGATCTCTCTTATTCATTATCATTATTTTATTCTTTGAATCAGATAGAAGTTCCAACACTGAAGATCACAAAGAAGAATTCCAGCATTGAAATAGAGCAGAGAGAAAGGTTTGTGAGTAAGAAGAGAGGTTTCAATATGATGAAGAAGAAAAATAGAAAGAAGGTATATTTCTTTCATTAATTCACTATTTTCGCATTACAACCCATATATTCTCAACTGTATAGTCATTGCTATTAGGCAAGTGTTGTAATCCCTTTTAGTACCCTTATCAAACAACAAACAAAAATAAGACAAGTTCCCTCATTATAATAACCCGTCCCCAACTATAGGACAACTGTGTATGAACTGAGAAGCTAAGCCCTGCAGTAAAGAAGAAAACGAAAAACCAGAAGAAGAAGAAAATGGTTGAAAGCACTGTAGCTTCTATTACTCAGCTCTGTGTTACCGAGAACTACAAGGAGATATATAAAAGACGCTTAGCGACAGTTAGTTAGGAATTCAGAGTCTGTTGGTGGACAGACTGAGAAGAGCAGAGGAATAACATAAGTAAAACAAGTGGAGCAGAGATCCGCCTGAGTATGAGAAGAAGGGGTTGAACAGTGAGCCGCCTGTGTCAGTGGTCCAATAATGAGTAGTTTGCACATGTAGTCTAACATCCCCCCTCAAAGGAACAATCCTGAGATCGGATTGTTAATTTGGAACAGAGGTCATGAAACCTTGTAATAGGCAGTGGCTTAGTGAGGAGATCCGCGGGTTGCTCAGCTGAAGAAATGTGAAGAAGCTGGATGGCATTGGACTGAATGTGTTGATTGATAAAATGATGATCAATCTCAATATGTTTGGTTCTAGCATGAAAAATGGGATTATGTGCCAATGCCATGGCTGATGTATTGTCACAGAAGATCCTTGTAGCTGTAGTTTGAGGGGCATTCAATTCTCCAAGAAGACGACGAAGCCAAATCACATCAGAAGTGGCCGAGGCTAATGCACGATATTCAGCTTCCGTTGATGATTTTGCAACCGTTGGTTGTTTCTTAACACACCAAGAGATCAAATTTGGACCGAGAAAGGTACAGAAACAAGTTACAGATTTCTGATCATGTTGATCAGCAGCCCAATCAGCATCTACATAGGTAGAAAGAGAGAGTAAACCACGAACGACTGGAAGACCATATGTAGAAGTACCTTGCAGATATCTGAGTATGCGTTTGAGAGCCTGAAAATCTTTAATGGTCGGAGAATGCATTCGTTGACAAGAATGATTAACTGTAAAGGCAATATCGGGTCGAGTGATGGTTAAGTATTGTAAGGATCCAACCAATTTGCGAAATAAAGTGGGATCATGAAACGGTGAGTCTGTAAGTTGCGGCGCATTTGAACGAATGGTAATGGGGGTCGGAGCAGATTTACAATCTGTAAAGCCCGATTGATGAAGTATCTCTTTGAGATAGTGTGTTTGATGCAAAAAATAGCCATCAGCAGTTTTAGAGAATTGAATGCCAAGGAAAGTAGAAATGTTACCCAACTGTTTTAAAGAGAAAACAGTCTTCAATTTGTGTAGAAGTTGCTGAAGTAACTCAGTATTGTTGCCCATTAAGAGAAAATCATCAACATAGATAAGCAAATAAAGCTATATGCTGGCTGCAGAGTAAATGAAAAAAGCTGGATCTGATTTCCTGAGATGAAAATCGAAGTCAAGAAGAAAGTTTGTAAGCTTTGTATACCACTGCCGAGGTGCTTGTTTGAGACCATAAATGGCCTTGTGAAGCTTACAAACATGGTTGGGAAACTGAGTATCAACAAATCCAGGAGGTTGTTTCATGTAAATGTCTTCGGTGAGATCTCCATGTAAGAAAGCATTCGAAATGTCAAGCTGCATAATGGACCAATCTTAAACTAATGCAATGTTAAGCAACACTCATATTGTAGGCATTTTGGCAACTGGATTGAAGGTCTCTTTGAAATTTATGCCATATTGTTGTTTGAATCCTTGAGCCACAAGACGTGCCTTGTATCTGTCTATCTCACCCATTGGTTTCAGCTTTAGTTTATAGATCCACCGTGAACCAAGAATGACAGCATTTGGTGGAGGAACAACTAAGGACCAAGTCTTTTGATGTTGTAGAGCTCTAAATTCGGCAGTCATGGCATCAAACCAAGAGGGAGATTGGATGGCTTGGTGATAAGTAGAGGGTATGGTTTGTTTAGAAGCTGTAATAGATAAATCGAATATCTGTTTTGGTTTTGAAATGCCAGAACGAAATCTGGTTTGCATTGGGTGAGTTGAATGGATAGTGGTAGGCTGTGACACAAAATCATTTGGTGGAGAATGAATAACGTGAGTGGGAGATTGAAGAGAATTGGAAGTAGAATTTGAAGGAGAAGGAGATGAAGACGGAACAGAAGTTATATGTGATGACGGTACTATAGTGGGTGACTTGAGTAGTGAGGTGGGCATTAACAGAAAAGGTGAAGTGGAGGTATTAATCGTTGAAGATTGCTGTTGCTGAGACAGAGAAGAATAAGGAAATATTTCTTCATGAAATACAACATGCCATGAGATATGTAATTTTCTTGAATTTAGATTGAAGCATCGATATCCCTTATGAGATGTAGAATAACCAAGGAACAGACATTCACTAGATCGAGGATGAAGTTTACTAGGGGAGAGAGGTTTAAGCCACGGAAAACACAAACATCCAAACACTCAAAAGTGTTTGTAGTCTGGATAGCGATGATATAGCTGTTCATAAGGAATTTTAAGATCAATAGATTTGGATGGAAGTCTGTTGATCGTGTAATTTAAAGTTTGCAAAGCTTCAGCCCAAAATTGATATGGCAAACTTGCAGTATGTAACAAGGTACGAGTCGTCTCTAGGAGATGACGATGCTTACGCTCAGAGAGACCATTTTGTTCAGGTGTATATGGACAACTAAGCTGATGATCAATGCCTTGTTCGAGTAAAAACTTTTTAAACAGATGTCCCGTGAACTCGCCACCTCCATCTGATCTAAAACATTTTATTCGAGCATTGAAGTGAGTTTGAACAAGTTTATTGAATTCTTGTAGTTTAGACAAAGTTTCATCTTTGGAACACATGAGGAAAAGCCAACAATATCTTGTGCAATCATCAATAAAAATCACAAAGTAACGATAACCATTTAGAGAAGGTACAGGAGCCGGACCCCATACATCGGAATGTACTAATTCAAAAGGTAGAATAGACTTGTGCATTACATAATCAAAAGATAACTTGTGGCTTTTGCTCACATTACAATGAGTGCAAACAAAGGAAGAAGAGGGAATACATAAAGACGAATCAGTTTTAGCTAAAAGACGCAAGACTTGTGGATTTGGGTGTCCTAAACGAGCATGCCATGTAGATGCAGAGACAAGAAGTGCTTGATGACCGGAAAAGGATGTTGATGAAGATGTTGAAACAGGATAGATTCCGTCACGGCATCGACCATGAAGAAGAACTTGATTGTCCAGGAGATCCTTTATCACAAAGCCATTAGCATCAAATGAAATTGAACAGGAATTGTCTGATGTTAATTTGTGAATGGAAAGCAAATTGTGAGACAAAGAAGGGACATGTAATAAGCGACGAAGAAGAAGCTTACGATTGCTGTCTGGAAGTGGTAGAATGCCCTGTCCGCTTTGATGTATAGGTAGTTGAGTTCCATTCGCAATGGAAACAAAGTCACTGCCGTGGTAAGGAGTGGACTGGGAAAGATTGCTAATATCAGGCGTTAAATGAGTTGAAGCACCTGAATCAAGTATCCACTCGGTATGTGATGTAGGTGGTTGGGTTTGAGTAAGTAGAGCTCGGGGTGCAGGTGAGTATTGCAGATTACATCTATGCCAGCAGGTTACAGCAGTATGTCCTGTTTTTCCACAAATTTGACAAACAGGTCGAGTGCTAGGCGTTGCAACTGTAACAGGCATTGTAGAAGGCGACGATGGCATTGTAGAAGGCGATGGTGGTCTATTTCCAGACTGAAACTGCTGACGAGAAAAATTTCCTCGGCCACGATTTGATCTTCCTGAAGCACCACGCCCACGAACTGAGCCACGAGTGGAATAGAGTGCAATATTTTCCGTCTGTTGCAAGGAACTGTTATGAGCTTCATTTTGAAGATTCACTTCTTCACTACACAATAATGAATAAAGTGTATCTAAACTGATAGGTTGCAGATTTGTTCTTATAGAGGTCTTAAATGCACTGTAGGACTGCGGTAATCCATTGAGAATATGATGTATAATATCTTCTACATCAATATAAGAACCTGCAGTTTCAGATTATTCATAAGAAATTTCAACGGTGACGGAATGATAATTTTCGCCATTGCTGCCGATAACGAAGAAATTTCCTGTGTTGGAACAGGAGATGGAGTCGATGCAGAGGAAACTTGTTCTCCCATTGAAATGAATGCAGTGATGCTCACGGCTCTGATACCATGAGAAGCTAAGCCCTGCAGTAAAGAAGAAAACGAAAAACCAGAAGAAGAAGAAAATGGCTGAAAGCACTGTAGCTTCTATTACTCAGCTCTGCATGTGTTACCGAGAACTACAAGGAGATATATAAAAGACGCTTAGCGACAGTTAGTTAGGAATTTAGAGTCTGTTGGTGGACAGACTGAGAAGAGTAGAGGAATAACATAAGTAAAACAAGTGGAGCAGAGATCCGCCTGAGCATGAGAAGAACGGGTTGAACAGTGAGCCGCCTGTGTCAGTGATCCAATAATGAGTAGTTTGCACATGTAGTCTAACATGAACGCCATTTTCTCACCCACATTAACCTACTTCCATCAAGTATTCTCTATGCCATTTCGGAGCACACCTAAGAAGCCACACCACACAAAAAAGTCCACTATGAAAAAATGGGAGAATTAGTATGGATCTTTGTTCTTTTCTCTCTCTTTCTCTCTCCTTGCTTCTCTTCACCCTTGTATGGTTCTCACACTAGAACATACAAAAGAGATACAACAAAAACCACCGAAGGACACTACCTTTAACAAAAAATAATAAAGTAAATTGTCCAGCTAGCCTCAGTGTTGCATTGCTAAGTTGTAGCTTTGCGGTGCTCCCACTCTTTAATTTCAATATGCACTACAGAGCCGAGGTTTGTAGCACCGTAGCACTCCACTTCTCTATATTTTCCCACCTAACTATGTAGCACTAGGGTGCTCGGGTACATAGCCATCGAAGCGCTATACAAAAAAAAAAAATTTCGGGTGCAAAGCACCCAAACTCAAGCAAGGGGAGGACCCCCTGCAACCCCCCATTGAGCACAACAGACTGAATTAAGGTCTAAAATAGCAGTACAACTTGATTGATCAACACAATTAGATTCCACCTAAACTATCACCTTCCATGTAGTTTGAGCCGAGCCACCTTTCATCCTTTTGGGTTCGTAATTGTTCCCTCATCGGTTGGCAGAATTTTGTTCTCAAGGTGAAGGTTAGGATAGAGTTGAGGCACATTGGTCTCATACACCCAAGTTGCCTCTTTTTCTGGTAAATTTTGCCATTTTATGATGCATTGAATGATCGATTGGTGGCTTGCAACAGCCTACGAGCTTGTAAAACTTGTTCTGGATTAGACAGTTCAGCCAACCTATTATGTGTGGAATTTGATTGTGTTCATCAATCAAGTTGTTCTGTTGCCTCAGATCTCAAGTTTGTTATTCTTGCTGGGGGTTTACACTTGATCCATGTTTTTTTTTTTTTTTTCAATATGATGCCCCGATGCTATGTACCTGAGCGCCCCGCCGTTGTGTTCCTTAGCGCCCCAGCGTTGAACGATGGAGAGCAGAGCGCCACATCGCTATGGATTCAACGCTACAGCACTGAGTTTGAGTGCCGCAACACTGTGAGTTTGAGCGCCGTAACATCATTAGATAGAGTATTGAGCACCATAATGACCCAAACTGGCGCCGCACCGCTGTGAGACAGACTGAACACTTTTCTTTCTTATTTTTCTAAAGTGTTGCATCCCTTGGTGGTTATAATTGGCTTTTTCTTGTATTTCTTGTTATGTTAGACATAGTGCTTCATGCATTGCAGAATGACATCATCCCATTGTTACAACCATTGCTGTTCTAACTCTAGCTTGGTATGCCCTATACATGGTTCTATAATAGTAGGTGACAGCAAACAATACAAGGCTTGGAGCGGAGACAAGCTGCAGTGACATGTGGGGTTGAAATTTGAGGATGCATGGCCATGAAGGGAGCATAATTCGTGAGGTTGCCGCCGGCCACCGTGATTGTAGTTTTGCCCCTACTGTCAGTGCACAGATGATGATTTCCATTCATAAATCTTCCCAGGCGACCCATGGTATTGGAGGGAGCTATAATACGCCCGCTGGTGGTATTTTGTAGCTTAGCAAGTTGGAAAAGTTTGCACAAACTTGTACACATTTGTTTCCATTTTGGACCAATGAAGTTGTTAGCAGAGCTGATGCAGGGTCTTGCGAATGCCTCCATGGCCTCCTACGGATCCAATCCATTATAATATTGTTGGAGAAGCTCCTAGTGCAAATCAGAAGAGGTTAGTCCAACACAAACTTGGAATGAAGGGTCTTTTACA